TTCCTTTTTAAAAATCGAAACAAAAACTGTAGTATCTGTGGTTAAAAAAGTTTCGGTTCCAAAGAAAAAGAACCGTCTACAGAACCGCGGTTCCGGTTCCCGATGAAGAACCGAAAACAAGAAAACCGCGGTTCCGGTTCTTAACGAGAACCGAGAACCGAACATCCCTAATCCGAAGTTACATAATACTAGTCGCTCCCAGCAAAACTGATACCACGTCTAAAACTCCAGAGACTGAACCTACTGATGAAGATACCATACAAACGGTCGGTTTGTAGGAAATTTCACGAGCTTTGAAATGGTATATGACACAAAACATACATGTTTCTTTACTAGTATAACAAATGGTAAAAACTGAAAGTATGTCATGTTACATTTTTCCCTAGTCGATTTACTTCTGGTTCATTTTTCAGGGCCTGGCAAATTTCATGAGCTTCGAAATGATATATATTAGAAAAATATGTGTTTTCTTGTCTGAGAGAAAAACGGACCATACAAGCGAGAACTGTCTACTATAGTGTATATGTACGATTATTCTCAGCGCCCTACTATCAAAGCACTGCAGTTAATTGTTATTTTACACACACTCTGTAGAGAATTTTAGGGGCTGTCCAATGGTATATTTACTTTGTCATCTAAGTGAAAAAAACATGAGAATAACACTTTTTACGTAACCTATAGCTTATCTTTGAGGGATGAGCTATTGCTATTGATGAAGAATTACTTGACTTTTAGTTACTAAAAGTACGCGAAATTACTTACAATCGCATAAAAATACTTTTCTACTACTCACAGAACCGTTCTTAGGCAAAACATGAAGTGGACTGATTACCGACCTCATGTGAGCCTCTCCTTTCTTATTCCTTCCAAGTGAAGTTCCTGTTATCATTAGCTAAAATTCTTGTTGAAAAAGAAGAAGTGTTGCTTGTTGAATTATTGCTTCTAATTTGGTTTCTCGAAACTTTTCTAAGTTTAGCCGTTCTCCAGATCATCAAGTGACATTTTGGTTTTGTAAACGGCGAAAGATGAAGTCAAAAAACTCTTTTCTATTTCACGATAAGTACAAGACGACTAGTCACCTTAAAAAGCTGAAGAGAGCTGGTTTTTTTCGTTCTTACAGTTAATATTACTAAGAGTAGAGATGGGCCGTAATACGTAAGCCTCGAAAGAAAGGAACGAACGATTATTCGTTATTCACTATAGTAAACTATGTTTCATTTATATACGAGTAAAGAATATTCGAATAATGAGTATACGAATACACGTCAGAAAAGAAAGAGAAAAGAGCTTAAACTTACGAGAGCTTAACTTAAACGTGAGCTTAACTTTTGAGTATTTTTACTCACTGAATACTCAGTTACTATGTGAGTACTCAAAGTCGTCCCCACAGTACTCATTACTCACTCTTGAGTACTCATGTGAGTACTCAATGATTACTCAAAATGTATGAGTACGTTTGAGTACTCGTCCAGTTTTTCTAGCAGAGTACTTTTTGAGTACTCACGCATGAGTACATTCACTAGGGTACATTTATCTAACCTCACCACCAGAGGTGCAGAATCTACCCGTGAAATTGGAAAATTTCCCTCGACAGAAAAAGTTTTTTCAAAAACTTCCCCGACATAATCCACGAACAGAATTTCTTTTTGCAGTATAGTATTGCACGGAATTGGTAGGAATTCCGCGGAATTACATGCAATTCCGTCTAATTCCGCCTCGAATCAATTCCCGGAATTCCGTACCAGAACCGGTTACTGTCTGAACGATCAACCCTTAGTATAAGAACAAGCGTGAGGGTGAGGGCGGAAAGCGATTCCGGAATCGACAGAATTACTAGGAATTCCACGGAATTGCACCCGATTCCGTCCGATTCCGCCTCGAGTCAATTCCCGGAATTCCGGACCGGAACCGGTTATTGTCTGAACGATCAACCCTTCGTGTAAGAACAAGCATGAGGGTGAGGGCGGAAAGTGATTCCGGAATTGTTAGAATTGATTCCGGAATTCCCGGAATTCGGTAGAGTTGAGGCCGGAATCGGATGGAGTTCGAGTTTGTTCCAATTCCGGAATCGGTGGAACTGATTCCGGGGGCGGAATTGATTCCGCAATGTTCATCATCGCGGAATAGGATGTATTCTAGCGGTTTTCAGCATTTGTTGTGAAGGAAATCTTACTTTATTGTTTCTTGCATATGGATACTTGGAAAACTCGGATTTTCCAGTGAAGTATTTCATACGTCTTCAAAAGATTTGGTTGCTCTTCTTTTGTTAAATTTTCCCATAGAGAGCTCTATGTAAAAAATAAGCAAACATATAGGCTAGGATATTCTCCACAAGTCTGCTTGCGCACAAGCCCGATCTTACTAGTTTGTGCCGTTCATGAGCTATAAGCATTTATCTGAGAAGTCACTGTATCAAGATTTTCGAAAAACTTATTCATTACGCCTCAAAGCTGCAGAACGTTGAAATTTTAAAATCTTGATACAGTGACTTCAAATCGTTTCGAAATTAAAAACAAACATCACCACTCGACCCAGTGTGATCGATTACCCTTATGTTGACTTGTTTTGGAATGATGGAAGAGCAAACTGGCTGAAATTGAAACATAGCTCATGAACGGAAAATACTAGTAGTAAGGTCGGACTTGCGCACGCAGAGTTGTGGAGAATATCTTAATCTATACTTTTTGCTTAATTTTTACATAGAGCTCTCTCTATAACTAGAATTGAAAAACTAATTCTTTTGAAAGACGTATGAAATATACTCCACTGGAAAATCCGAGTTTTCCAAGTATCCATATGCAAGAAACAATAAAGTAGCATCTCTCCTTCACAACTAATGGTGAAAACCACAGGTCATTATATCTCGTTTTGTATTTGTTATCGACCTATTCAAAAAACAGGCACAACATGCACTGACTTTTTGGACAAGCAGTAGTTTTGATCAATTGGAAACAGCCGCTCAATCACTAACTATATAACCGATGGCCCATAATAAACGGCCCAACATGTTTTCGTCTTTTTAGGGCACTTCCCAACATACTGTAGACTTCATTTTAGACTCATTCGATAGAGACTTTTTCACTCTACAAAATTACTGTATTTGTTTTTCGAAGCACTTTTTCTTGTCGGCGTAAAATTTAAAAGATTGCCACCTGCTCACCCGTCGAACTGCGACGATCAACAAAACGAAAAAACTGACAAAAATCTATTAATAAAGGTTCCGCTGAAATTTCAAATATGCTACAAAATTCTCCACAAAATTCTGTATCTTGTGATCTATGTTTCAGGATTTTTTAAGAGATACTTACGAGAAAAACGTTTGAAGTAAAAAATGTGAAAAAACTCTTTTCTGGTTGCATGTCATCAATGTTCCTTTTTTTTAATTCGATACAACCTAATCGGTTTACTCTTCGATTTAACAATCAATCCATTTTGTTCAGAATTAAATTATACACCAGGTGGAATGAGAATTAACTTGGCATTTCGCTTTGGAAAACATGATTTTCCAGTATGCGTCTCAAAATATCACTAAGAATACCACTAGGGGTGAGTTCAAAGCCTTTTCTCCTGAACGACAGCAACGGAAACCTTGAAAAGATCGTGGAAGCAAAGAACACGAAATTCTCTATTCATTGATGCCAAATACTTTACTTTTAAGACCGGTGCTGATGTGTAAAGGCTCCCACAAAATCGATACAAGCCTGCAGAAAATCGAAATCGCAGTTAGACGATTGAGTACGTAGTAATCTTTTAAATTTTACGCCGACAAGAAAATGTGTTTCGAAAAACAAATACAGTAATTTTGTAGAGTGAAAAAGTCTCTATCGAATGAGTCTAAAATGAAGTCTACAGTATGTTGGGAAGTGCCCTAAAAAGACGAAAACATTTTGGACCGTTTATTATGGACCACCCGTTAGTGCAGTGCTTATCTTAAGTAGTAGTAGTATAGATTGCATAGAATTAATGCTCTATTCATATGTGAAGTAGCGCTGCTGCTGTAGTGTAGTACAATGTTGATTCTATACATAGAATCGAGTGAAGCCCTCGTCACATTATAGAAGACTCGCTGGCTCTTCTATTTTGTCTTATCGTTCGCAAGTTACAAGGGGAGTTGTCTTCTATTATGTCCCTGAAAAAAGTCATATTTTTTCGTAGTCTCAACGATAATTCTTATAGTTTCGCAATTCACATGTTTTGCTCAATACATTGTTAGTAAACGAGTTTATTTCACTTATCCCATATGCTCATTCAATGGAAAGAAAACAAATAATAAATAACATGTGAGAAAAACAGGGAAACAATAGTTGAAATGAGAAAAATGTTGTTAGAGCAATAGAGTCAGCCAACCTTTAAATCTTGGTACAATATAATTACAATAGCCCACTATTATCTTTTTGTCTAAAGAATAAGATCTATTATAGCTCAATAACTGAAAGAAAGAAAACTAATTTTTTTTTGTCAAACTTATTTTATTCAGTATCGCCTTACGTTCAGGTTTGACTAGATGAAATTTGTTCGCAGTTAAATGTACGATTACCATTATAGTTATTATAGTCCTAAGCTAACTTGAATGAATGAGGTTGTCTAGGAATAGAAACAGTTTATATAGGAAAACAACAGCAGTTAAATAGACATTCAGAGTTAGAGTGCTTCTTGTTTTCATGTGTTGTGTGTGTTTCGAAAAATATGTTTGCAACTGTTTTTTTTTGCGAAAAGAAATGCGTTCTCATCAGGCTGGCTCATAAGAAGAAGTAATTACTTCATAATAAAACACATCTCGCGACGTGTTGTGTACCCGAAGGTATATTTTCCTCAATTATGAATGAGTTGTTTTCTGATGAAATGTATCTGCACTTTCTTCTAGAAGAAAAACTAGAAAGTGCAACGGCGACGAGATCTTTTAATTAATAGATAACACTATATTGTTTTGGAATGATCTCTGCATACATGTGTGTCCTATGCGAATTCACAGTGCGTTAAGTAGGTCCTACGTACACAGGGGAAGATATATTTTTCGTATATGGAAAACCTAGAGATTTTTTTCAGAGTATCTTGCAAAAGAGAACTATGAAGTGACTCCACGACATGCATATTGTCATTTAATGAAACGCATTTTTCAATAAACAGCTCGTTTCTCTATTAGCTGTTTCTGATGATTTTTCTATCTCTCTCTGCATGTACTGACACATCGCTAAGTCTACAGAAGCAAAATAGGGTCCATACTGAACCTAGGTATTAATCAACAAGCTTCAGAAATGATTTTGAGAAATGATTTTTTCAGAGGGTGTCTGTTCATTGTGGAATGAACAGGCAAACGACAAATAATTGGAACTGGCCACTTGCTTATTTGTCAATAAATATTCAGATGAATGAATTCGAGTAGAATAAAGTGACAATTCGACATTTGAAATTAAACAATCGTTCTTTACAAAGTTGAGAATTTAACTAAAAGATTTCTACTCTTGCAAATCAGATTTTCATCAAGAGCAAATTGGAAACAAGCCGAAACTTGGAACGATGTTGATTTTGCGAAAATTCAAATCAACTCTTCACTTTTCTCTCTCTTCTCTCTTATTTTACGATTTTATCCTCTTCTCTTTCTCTCTATTTCAGTCCCTCCATTACGTGGGAGTTCAATTGACATTCATCCAAATGCTCGATGGCAACAGAATGGTGTCACAGTGGCTGGAGGAAATGGACGAGGCAATGGAATCAATCAACTCTCTAACCCATACGGTTTGTATGTTGATGATGATCAAACTCTCTATGTCGCTGATAGGTCGAATCACCGTATTGTGGAATGGAAATCGGGTGCGACGAGTGGCCAAGTGGTTGCCGGTGGAAATGGACAAGGAAGTGGAGCTCATCAGTTGTCGAACCCATATGATGTGATTGTCGACAAAGAGAGAGATAGTCTCATCATCTGCGATCGTTCGAATGCAAGAGTAGTTCGATGGCCTCGTCGAAATGGGACAAGTGGAGAAACGATCATCTCGAACATCGACTGTATGGCCTTGACAATGGACGAGAATGGATCTCTCTATGTCGCTGACGTTGGAAAAGCTGACGTTGGCATTCGCGTTTTCCAAAGCGAATACCTTTTTGAATGTGCGAAAAAAGTCGCATTTTTACTCCTAAAAACGCTTCTTTTACAGATTTTACCTGCCTGAGATGTTCTTTGTCTAAACAATCAAGAATTGATAATGAAGACAGTTGTAGTATTTTAAATTACATTAATAACTTTTTTGAAGAACATCGTTAGGTTTTCATTCCATTTGATCATTTATGTGTAATAACTAAGAGGATATTCAATTATTTCTTTTCCCCAAAGTTCATTATTAATCTATATAATACCGATTATATTTTATTTTTTTGCTCATCAATATGAAAAAATGAAGTTTCGATATACGAAAAAGAAAAACGTTATAGGGGCTGTTACAATTTTAACTCCGACACCGCGGGAAGTCGGAGTCATAATCGCGTTACGGAGTTTCCCGCAGGTCCCTACCTCTCACCCCTCGACTGACATTCATCCAAATGCTTGATGGCAACAGAATGGTCTCACTGTGGCTGGAGGAAATGGACAAGGCAATGGAATCAATCAACTCTACAACCCATGGGGTTTGTATGTTGATGATGATCAAACTCTCTATGTCGCTGATCCATCGAATTATCGTATTGTGGAATGGAAATCGGGTGCGACGAGTGGCCAAGTGGTTGCCGGTGGAAATGGAGAAGGAAGTGGGGCTCATCAGTTGTCGAACCCATATGATGTGATTGTCGACAAAGAGAGAGATAGTCTCATCATCTGCGATCGTTCGAATAGAAGAGTGGCTCGATGGCCTCGTCGAAATGGGACAAGTGGAGAAACGATCATCTCGAACATCGATTGTATGGGCTTGACAATGGACGAGAATGGATCTCTCTATGTCACTGACTATGGAAAAGCTGAAGTGAGACGATATCGAAGAGG